CCTCTTGTACCCAGAGCAACAATGCGGAGCGAGCCGTAGACTGGATCTTCAGCCACCCGGACGAGCTGAGTCAGCCCATGGAGACGGAGGAGGCCAGCGCCCCGGTCACTGCCGCTAACTTTAAAGATGGGTCAGAGAGTGAGTTATTGCCCCTTCGTGGGACACTATTTGGTTGTGGTCGCAAACGTTGTGTGCCCTTATTGACACAGTTACGGTTATGTAGCAGTTAATGGGCGCTCTCTCGCTTTCTGTGATTGATGGGGGACGGAGGTAGGGGGAAGATGGTAGAGGCATGGTTAGAGTCGTAGAGTAAAGGTGGTAGAGTGGGTGGTTGGCGGGTGCTCTGGTGTGGTTTGCTTCTTCTTTCCTATCTAACATCTATCGTCCTTGTCTCCCCTTTTTCTTTTTTATGTTTTTTACTCTCTTGTAGCACCTCTAATCTCTTCTGGCGCTCATATGACCTTATGCAGTTGCGAGCGCCGTAAAACCTCTGCTAAAACTAAAAGGTGGTAGAGAGAAAGTGATAGAAGAACACTGGATACATTACGAGGGATCCCTGGAGGAAGGTTGTTTGATGGCCACCATGTTCATGTGATAGACACGCTGTTATGTTAACACTGACAGGTTTTTCCTGGTAGTTGTTGTAGCTGCCTGCGGGGGCTAGGCTTAATCTGTCGGGGTTTGGGGGTTTTTTTTGGGTCTTTTTTCTAAGGGTGCTTTGGTGTGGTTTTTCTCCTTCTTTCCTATCAAACATCTATCAGTCCCTGCTCATTCTTTCTGGATCAATAACAACAACTCCTTACTCTTTTTCGTGTTTGTTACTCTTTAGTAACACCTCTAATCTTCAGCATTTATGCTGCCTTATTCTGTTGCAAGTGCTGTAAAACTCTTACAGAGACTAAAGCTACAAAACTAACCTCTGGTTCACTGAGGCCCCTCTATGTAATACATTATGCAGCAAGTTGTAAACACCTAGATCTTTTTTTTTTTAGATTGTTTTTCTCTTTGACATTTCTTCTTTTTCTCTCTCTCTGTCTCTCAAATCTGACATCTTTCTCTGTCACTTTGTCTCTCTCTCTCTCTCAAATCTAACATATCTCTGTGTCTCTCCCCACAGAGTACCGACTGGTGGCCTTCATCAGCCACATGGGCACGTGCACCAGCGTGGGTCACTACGTGTGTCACATCCTGAAGGAAGGTCGCTGGGTCATCTACAACGACGAGAAGGTGGCACTGTCGGAGCAGCCGCCCAAGGACCTGGCCTATCTCTACCTGTACCAGCGCATGTAGGACATTGAGGGGGGGAGGTGAGAGTGTGTGAGGGAGGAGGACATTGAGGGGGAGAGGTGAGAGTGTGAGGGAGGAGGACATTGAGGGGGAGAGGTGAGAGTGTGTGAGGAGGGAAGTGAGAGTGTGTGAGGGAGGAGGACATTGAGGGGGAGATGTGAGAGTGTGTGAGGAGGGAAGTGAGAGTGTGAGGGAGCAGGACATTGAAGAGGGTGAGGTGAGAGGGTGAGGGAGGAGGACATTGAGGGGGGACGTGAGGGGGTGTGGTAAGAGGATCTTTGGGGTGAGAGAGTGTGGTAGGACATGGGGGGGGGGGGGGGGGAGAGAAGAGAGAAGATGTAAGACATTTGGAAGGATATGAGAGGGTGTAGGAGGACATGGAGGGGGTTGAAGGGGGGGGGCGGGCATGAAACGGTGAAGGAGGTCATTTGGTAGGGTGTAGGAGTAGGAGGGGGGAGGACATTTGGGGGATGAGAGTGTAGGAGGGGGCATGAGAGAGTGTTGGAGGACATTGAGAGGGGCATGCAAGGACATTGGCCTCATTTATTGTGTCCTTCATAGGTGTCTTTTCACAATATGTGCTGATGGTTTGTTGTGTGTATGTTGTTTAAAAAAAAACACGTAAATATGTTGTTTGTGTTGAGGCTGCATGATTGGCCTTTGTCTGGTACTGGGCCGCAGGGTGTCTGTCTGTGTGCGATGTGGGCGTGTGAAGTTGCCAGATCAAATTTTCAGGGTGTTGTTCCTGCCAGAGATGGCTGTGGCCCCCTACCCATGGATACCTTCATCATCTCATTGATATTGGTGGCTGGGCAGCGTTCGCTGTCATTTTGTGTGGCTGTATGGTCACTTTTCACAGTCTTCTGTTAGGACTTTCTTCTTTCGTCCTAAATTTCACCTACAACGTTCAAGGTTTGAGTTTGGGTCAAGAGAGGCACATTGACACAATAATGGTTATATTGTGCAGGGAAGAAGCAATAAATAGACTCTACTGAGGGAAAGTAAAGAAGTCGGATGTACCAGTGTTGTATTTTAATCGCTGAAAAAGAAATATTGAGTATGCCATCTGTATTTGTATACATTGATGCAGTTGTCTGAACAAGGGTAGGCCCCAGCGATAGAGCTCTAGAGCTAGAGCTTGAAGTAAGTCGAAGCAAAGATCAGGAGAGGTAGCTATGCTCGAAGAACATTTTTAGTTTGAGTGAAGTTTTTATCATATGCATTGCTTTTAAAAAATCCATTTGATGTTCCCAGAGATCCAGCAATACACATGGGTGGAATCCATTTTTGTCAAGTACCATGATTACTTTTAGGTTCTGTCACCTATTCAAAGGTCATGACTCGTCATTTTTATAGGCCTACTTGATACGAAGAACATTCTAGAAGAAAATGCTCTAACCTGAGAAAATTTAACTTTTTTTGCACACAGCCTGGAACATGTACTTATTTATAATAGGTCGATCTGTGTCTTGACAAAACAGATTTTTGCTACTCAACATAGTTTTTTAATGTGAACAGAATTTCCAAATTCTTTATTTCAGGCCTTCTTTCCAAAAGCAATACATTTTGTACTTTAATTATGAATTTTTTTTTACTCTGTCTGTACGGTACAGAGGTATTTATGTAAACATTATGCTACAAAAGTTTCATAGGTCTAGGGTTAAAACTTTTTGAGATCTACAGCGTTTTTTAAAATATAAAGTAAAAGAAAGCATGTATGATTTCCAATATTTGATCACCAAACCAATAAACTTTTCTGGTGTCTTTCTCATGGATTGCCTTACCTCAATTTTCCTGCTTTTTTTGGTGTTTTTTTTTGTTTTGGGGGGGGGGGGGGTTGTTGGTGAAACTTGAAGTTTTTGAAGTTAACACTGAGAATGAATTGAAGTTTGTCTTTGATTTTGCCACCAAAGTAAGCGAGGGAGAACTGTGGGGGACTGTTTCTGCCCGGTGTGTTTTCTGCCAACAGCACGTTCTCTGTTCTCTGTCTGCTACTTCTACTACGTCATCATGTACGATATTTCTGTGTTTGAAGCACTCGGTTCCACATTTTCCACAATATGTGCATTAAATGTTTCTTTATTTCACTCACTTCAGCTTTTGGTTTTACTTATTGTCGGACAGTTGTTAAAGTGAAACATATTAAGTCCAGATCTTTTTTAATTAAAAAAAAATAGTTTTTTAAATCTATATGGTATCAGTTGCTTGTGCTCAAGAACTATTTTGTGGAAATTCAAATTTTAAATGTTGGAAAACTAGAGAAAAGACTCACGATGCACTGATTTGATGTGAACCCTCTGCTGATACATCTACTGGTGCATGTCTGCCTCTGTCTACACTCACACTGTTGGGCATTCCAACAGAAACCTATTTATTTTCTCAACTGACTGGTCACACTGCTTGCTCTCCTTCTTGTTCCTCCTCTGTGATTGTTGTTGTTGTTATTCATCCAGCTCCTCTGTAATACTACATTTGGACAAAAATGTCCCTTTATGCCTTTAGATGTCAGCAGAAAGTGGCTCTTTTGCTCTATCATCACGCTATTTTTGTAAGTCTCTTCATTCACCACAAGACAAGAACTAAGTCTACACACACATTCGTTTTCTACCCAATTGAAGCTCCGTGCCCTTTTAGTTTTAGTTTTAGCAAGAGCTTTACAGCACTTGCGTCACAATATGGTCATATAAGTGCTGAAGATTAGAGGTGTTAATACAAGAGAGCAAACAATAAAAGGAGAGAAGGATGTTAGATGTTTGATAGGAAAGAAGGAGCAAACAACACTAGAGCACCCGCCAACAGCCCGCCCCTCGCCCTTTCTTCACATTGCACTGTTCACAGACATAGAGGCCACTTGTAACAGTAGGTCCCACTTTTGCCAAAAAAAACCTGACACGTTTGTTCAAACTTAGGCTGAGAACAAGTTAAGAATAATTAATTATCTCCAGAAAAACCTGACCTGTTTGAACAGAAACCACTGGAGTTTTATTTTAAAAGACAGTATATCCAGTTTTGGACAAAACTGAGTTATTGATTCCACCTGATAGCTTAAAACATGGCACACACTTCAGCCACAGTCTGGTATCGATGTCTTAACACTTTGCCACCTCATCTCGCCGATTGGCGATGTTTACCACCCAGTTTCTTAGTACTTTCCCCAAAATATGATGGCAAAGTGTTAATATGAGTACATAAGGCGGGGAAAGTGTTTTGTTTGAAGATATTCAAAGTGAGTGGCTGTTGAGAGGCAAAGATGTGTTTTTTTGGCAGTCTTTTTTTTTTTTAGAAACTGGATAAACTGTCTTTTAGAATAAAACGCCAGAGCAGTCAGGATATTCATCAATTGGTATCAACCGATAGGGCCACCAGGTTTTTCTTTCCAGCAAACGGCAGGTACAAACTGATCGTTACAAGTAAGGCAAGGTTTATGACACAGTGTAAGAGGAAAGCACACACAACTCAGTATCAAGAAATAGTGGAACAGAAAACAAAAAATTCTCTCAACACAAAAAAATGATCTCAAACAAATTATATCATATTTATTCTTATATTATGATGGCCAAGGACATGTGGTTACTTGAGTGAGGGAGGCACTGCGCTGCCAAGAGCGAAATGCTCGCAGCTAAAGGGATTCGAAAACAACAACAACAACATATTATGAAGTTAAATTTGTGTTCAGAAATATATAATGTAGCGATTCAGCAAATTTTCCACAACGTCCATTACCACCATAAAATATTTGGTCAGTCTCCCATAGACTAAGGTAGACCACAGCTTACACACTATACACAAAACAACAGTCATTTCTCTGAAGATATCGTGTAGATCTTTCTACTTTTCTTTGCAATATTAAAGGGATAAAAAATGTAACAACACAACAATTCCATCTTGGTTTACCCGCACCAAAAAGCAACAGCAACAAGCAGTGAGTATTACAACAATCGGCAGGATCGAAAAAAAAGAAAGTTTTGTCCATCACCTCAACAAATTAAATAAAAATACATATGTGTCATGATGTGGTGGAATCAGGCTCTTATCAATTTTTTGGGATGTAGAGTTATTGGTATCATCTTAAAGCTTGTTTACATGTCTTTATTTGGATGAAAAAAATATCCATTTATCTTGTATACAAGTCGAGATATTAGCGAATGAAGGAGGTGGGGGGTCACCCGGTCTCAGAGGTAATATTAGTGAGAAAATGGCGGCCTAAAGTTTGTTATTTCCTGAGCTTAAGCGTCAGTGGTAACTGAAAATTTACATTATTTTGTGCCTTTAACCAATGTTTTTATGAAAAATCCACACAGAAATGAGTTCTTTAATGGGCATGAAAGGTGTTGAGCCAAAAGCCAAAATTTCGATAAAAGTTCACAAACCTGCGGGAAAATGCCAGTTTCTCGACTTTTATTATTTTGCCGAGAGCCTGATTCCACCACGCTGCGTCACTTATAGATCTATATAAGTGTGTGTGAGTGAATGTCACAACACAGTGAAATCGGGTTATTGTAAATTTTTGGATTTATTTATAAGAGTCATTGGTTCAATTTTAAAGTTAAAGCTTGTTCATTTGCCTTGTTTTGCGTTAAAAAAACCCACCCCATTTAACTTGAATGGATTTTAAGATATTTTGCGATTAAATAAGGTGGGGGTCACTTGGTGTCAGAGGTAAAATTAGCGAGAAAATGGCCACCAAAGTTTGGTACCTTTCACTTTCAAAGCTGTAGTGTCCTTGAAAACTGCACATTTATATTTCCTTGTCTTTGATCAACTTTTTTCACTATAATATAATCCATGCAGAAATGTGTTTTTACATGGTCATGTACGATGTTGAGCCCTAAACAAAAAAAAATTCAATAAAAATTGTCCAACAAGCGCCAAAATGGTGTTTTTTTTCTGTTTCGTTATTTTGAGAAGCACCCGATATCACCATGATGCCACACACATATAGTGTACATAAATGATACACATGAAAATATTCGCATAAGGTGCAAAACTCCAGTAAACAAACTTCATTGATGAAAGCACTAGGACCAGGTTCCAAACTGCAACATTCTAACATTCTTCCAGCCTATTTTTCTCCAGCGCTCGTCAGGTACAATCTAAGTTCTGTCAACAAAGGATAGGCCTACTCATTTTTTCCTTGAACACTTTTCATGAACTCTACAGATCAGTTAGAGTGGAAACCATATATATATATACAGGCCTGGTAATAACACTTAATAACAGGAATTTTTAAAATCCCCGTTTTTTCCTACTCTTTGTCTCTATTAAAAGTAAAAGTTATTGGCAATAACAGGGCCTCATCGGAGCCCAGTCGGTTATAGCAGGGACAGAGGCTCGTTAACAATGTGTAAAAAGTAAGAGAGACAGAGAGTAACGCAGTGATGGAGTAAGCCCACGCAAGCCACATCACTGCAAGCCCACGCAGCGGGTGAAGCGAGGGAGGGCTGTGGTGTGCTGCAGACTTCGGTCTAGCCCTAAGCCAAGCTACACACACACACGCGTAATGTGTCATCGTAGGCCTGCCACATGGCCAAAGCCCCTGTTCGTGGGTTCTTGCGGCAAGGGAAACTACCCATGAACAAATACAGCTGGATTAGTCCACAAATGCTTACTTCTCTTGCATCTCTGATTTAACAGGGATCTGATTTAACAGGATTTTTTCTCTGGCCCCACTATCTCTGTTATCCACTGAATAATCTAAAACCTCTCCCTCTCATCAAAGATATACTTTTCTTTTCTCCTCGGGGGCGCACCAGCGGATTTCTTAATCTATATCTGACATATTTCAAGTAGCTGCCAGTAGTAACAAAGCAAGATATGTGCATAGACAGCTCAAACTGTAGACAGCCCATCATGTACCGGTACACAGCAAGGCTTACATGTACTATGTACACATATGTATGAAATGTGTCACGACGTAGTGGAATCAGGCGCTCGTCAATTTTGGGGCATATGGGGTTATTGGTATCATCTTAAAACCTGTTCATATGCCTTCCTTTTGGTGAAAAAATACCAATCTATCTTGAATAGAATTCAAGATAATTGAAGGGGGTGAGGCCGCCTGGTTTCAATGGTGAAATTAGTGATAAGATGAATATTTGGAATAATTTTCTTTAGTCAGAACATGTTTTATGTTACTGTTGTACGTTGTACTGTATGTATTGTAAAGCGCTCAGAGCCTGTGTACTTTAATCGCGGTTGAGCGCTATATAAATGTCAATTATTTATCATTTATTATTATTATCATAAAATGGCCGCCAAAATTTGGTAACTTCCATAGCCTGAGAGTCCTTGAAAACTGAAAATTTACGTTTTTTGTGCCTTTAATCAATGCTTTTCAGTAAAATCCACACTAAAATAAGTTTTTAAATGGACGTAAAAAGTGTTGAGCCAAAAAAAGAAAATTTGAAAAAAAATTGCCCACTAGCCAAAAATGCTGATTTCTTCGATTTCATTATTTTGACGAGTGCGTGATTTCACCACAATGCCTCACAAATGCTATACTATTATAACAATAACAGCAAATTTATGCACGGTCACGTACATGAAAACATGAAGTGCATTCATCAATAGTAAATTCTGAACGGTACATCATATATGTGTGCACATTATGAAGTGCATTCATCAATAGTAAATTCTGAACGGTACATCATATATGTGTGCACATTATGAAGTGCATTCATCAATAGTAAATTCTGAACGGTATATCATATATATGTGCACATATGAAGTGCATTCATCAATAGTAAATTCTGAACGGTACATCATATATATGTGCACATATGAAGAGCAAGCAAGACAACAACACCAAATTGTTAATGGTGTTAATGTAATGGTATGTAGCCTACATGTAGGAAGCGCATACAACAACGTGGGGCTCTCGAGGCCTAGAGGTTAAGGTGTTCTCCTCTCATTCAAAGGTCCCGGGTTCGAATCTGGGTAGCAACGGAAATATTTTCTTCTCTAAAATTGTCTCCTTTCCTGCTCTCTAGCAATGTTCTGTCGTCTGCTTTCGTCTCCACTTTCTGCCCCCTCCCCCTCACCTCCTTTGCCCCTTCCTCTGGGCTCCTGACTCTTTCTGCAGCCTTTCAACTGCTATTCCTAGGCTCCTTCTTACTGCTGTTTTCCAGCCACACCCCTGATCTTCTGGCAGGAAAGATTTACACCTAGCCTTCTTGGACAAAGGCAAAAAATCTCAGAGGTCCCCAGTGCAAGTTGCGCACGCTAAAGATCCCTTGGTGGTCTCTAAAATCGGTATAAGAGAATTCTTCGGCCGCCACCCGAGCAAAATTCAAAATTTCCTACAAACTGAAAAAGTTTAATGTGCCCTGTGCGCTCATAATATGACCGTATGCAGTTGCGAGCGTCGTAAAACACTTTTTAACAAATTTTAAAAATACAACGCAATGTCATTTCCCAGGGGACTTACTTCAATTGACAACACGGGTTCATTTGTGTCAGGTCTCTCTCACATTCTGTTTTCTCCTCTCTCTCTCTCTCTCCCTTCTCTTTCACCCTTCAATCTCTCTCTCTCAGTTTCTTCTTCTCTCTTCTTTTCCCCCCTCTCTCTCTCTACCTCACACACAACACACACACATACAGAGACATGCACACATTTATATATACACACCAAAAAACAGCCCACAACAAATGTTTCAAGACATCAGAAGAAACAAGCCGAAACTGGCTCATCAGATATTCAGAACCAATCAACTGAATCAGGCCACACCGCACCCAAGGCCTGGTCAGTCACTGCAGTTGGTCAATTTCACATTTCAGTTACAATCAAGTCTTCCAGAGAGTGGTGCATTTTTCTTTTCACCTCCTGGCTATATTTTACCAAAAAAATGTCCAATTCTACAGCCAGGACTGTTGACATTTCTCACCAGGAACAATTTCGGAGAAAATATAATTAAAAACAATAGCAACAGTACATATAGTCGAATCTGTCTAAGATGACCATCTATTGTACTGTCCCCGTGGTTTTAAGCACCCCGCTTAATTTAGCAAAATTTGATCATTTTTTGCATAATTTCTGATATTTTCCTTTATCCTTCTTTGTTAAAATTAACCAAATTGCAGAATTTCACATTTTTGGGCTCAGTTTGCATAATTTCAAAATTTTTCTAGCATAAAACGATGGGGACAGAGATTGTAGAGGAGAAAATCTCAGAAAAGTGTTGCGATCCTAAGTAAGACTGATCAAAATGAATAAAACAAACCATTCCCTTCTCTGGAGTCCCAACCGGAGGCAGTAGGCGGCCGCAGGCTTAGGACTGCTGTAACGCCCATGAAAAATTAAAATGTGAGAAAGGTTTCACGGCTGCTGTGAATGTTAAATTCTACAAAGTGTATCCAGTATCAAATGAGGAAGACAAAGTGCAGTGCAAGTGTAACATAAAATCTGTTAAATTAGGAAGACCGAGTGTCATGGTAAAACAAAAAACAAATGTGTCAAGACGTGGTGGAATCAGGCGCTCGTCAATTTTTGGGCATATATGGAATTACTGATATTATTTGAAAGCTTATTGATTCGCCTTGCTTTCAGTGAAAAAAATATATCTCGCTTAAATAGAAGTCGAGATATTCGTGATTGAAGAAGGCGGGGTAGCCTGGTTTCAGTGGTTAAATTAAGGAGAAAATGGCTGCCAAAGTTTGGTAACTTCAACAGCTTAATTAAAAGTCCTCCTTGAAAACTGAAAATTTTATATTTTGTGCCTTTAAACAAGGTTTTTCAGTAAAATTCACAGGGAAATGTGTTTTCATATGAACATAAAAAGTGTTTAGCCAAAAAACAAAATTTCGATAAAAATTGCCAAACTGGTGGAAATATGCGTTTTCAATTTCATTATTTTGACGAGCGCCTGATTTCACCACGATGGCTCACAAATGGGTCGGCACCACTCAGCAAAAGAGCAACACTTCTGTCGCAAGTTCACTGACGTCCAAAGTTACTGACATGGCAAACTGAGCGACTACCCCTCTATCCTCTTATGATTCGTGTGGGTCAGAATTGAGGGAAGGGCACCGAGGTCATGGTGGTTCATAGTTCATATTATATATATGCCTCCCACGTTAGGAGCTAAAAAAATTTTATCAACTGGTCAACTTGGGGTAACTCGATCTGTTCATTCATTGGAGGGACTAACAATTATGACAAGTGAATGGATTTATAATAAATGACAATTTGTCCACAGCATCAGGAGCCAATATAATGCGATGTGTTGGTCACTTACAAATCACTTTAAAAAGTAAGCAAAGACTATATATAGTACATGAAAATGTAAATCTATTTTCTTATTAGACATTTATGGCAATTGTCAAAAGTTCACTGGAATCCAACGGGAAAAGAAAACAAGACCAATATTAAAGCATGAAATAATTGTGAGTATGATTGAAGTATTTGCTATCTGGGAGGAGGTCTGACAGCGTTAGAGAGCACTGGTTTAGCTGCCAGTTTTCCCATAGGTTTCCCCTCTGGTCTCTGGCAACATTTTGAGGGGGGAAAACTCCAATCGTACTCATATGACGCTCTCTCGACGACCTCCGACTTACACAGATGGCCCAAAGACCGCAGGTTGGTGTGCAGCTCCCTGAGCTTGAGAACCGTCTGTTTATGGGTGACTAGGTAAGAGTTGAGGCAACCACGGGAAATATACTCCGTGTCAAAGTTCTGGTCATGATGGCGGTTTATTTTTAGTGGGGCAAGCCAAGCCCCGACGGAAACGTCTTCGCTGAGATAGAGTTGGAAGAACTCTTGGTTGCTAGCGATAAAATGTACCAAGTCGCTGGATAAGACGTATCCACCTCCGCGGGCATAGGGCAAATAACGATCGCAGAGATTCCAATCTGTCTCTTTCCACTTGCCCGATGTCTTCACACGAGCCCGGCCGTCAAAAAAACCCCAGTACAATCTGTCTTTGGGTTTGTGTTGTAGCTCCGCCAAAACATTCGACACTCGAACAAAACTGTCGTCATCCACTTTTAAAACATACTGAAAATCCACATTTTGGTCGAGCCATACAAAAGCTTGCAGAACTTTGAAAGTTAGACCCTGGTAAGAATCCTGGACATTATTCAGAATAAGCAAATCTTCGTGAACGAGTTGCTCTCTGTCAATTTTTTGCCTGGTGTTCACACTTAGAGAAGCACTTCCTATCACAAAACGAATTAAAACGCTCAACGACGACAAATCACTCATCCACGTTTCCCGGATCCCATCCCGCTCCTGAAAATTTTCTGGCCCCGTGAGAACAAGAATGACTAGCTTGGCTTTCAAATCTCTGTGAGGGGACAAGAAATGCTCTTTCCAAAAGGCTTTACTTTTGGCAGCTTTTAAGACATCAGCGTCCAAGCCATAGAGTTTGTCTTCACAAGGCATGTTGCACATGGTGAGAAAGAACAGAGCGCTGAGCGTGAAGAAAAGTCCACCCACCAAAATGACGGGTGCGTGTCTGTTGAGTCGCCTCTCTAAAGACGAAGAGTTCCTCATGCCTGCCTTGATGTCAGAGTTCACCGACCGCAATAATGGGGACCACTTTTGGAACTTCTTGAAAACATCAGCAGCATCAGTTTCTCAGCTCTCTAGGAAAGAAGGAAAAAACCAAGATCAAACAAGGTCATTTTCACACCATGGTAGACTTTGTGGTAAACTTTGTTGAACACAAGGGAACCCAACACCAATTACAAGATTTCAAATCACAGAATTTTTTTTGTCCTTTTTAGTCTGAATGCATTGCAAATTCCCTTAACCCAATAAAAATTTCAACAGATCTGGTTTACATGAAGGAATTTAAATGTGCCCCATCCATGAAGGAAAACCTGGCTTGCCCTAACTGAATCAAATGACCACTATTTGACCAATTAAAAACAGAAACCAAATTTTGAACATCTCCTTTGTTTCCACCCTCAGCCCCAATGGCAATGGTCCATGCATAATCAACCAATGCAATCCCTTCCGTGCATCAGGTACCAATGATTCTAAGAATTTTTTTCTCGGTTGGCTGTGTGATCACCAGAGCGGCGAGAACTGGTCAAAATAATTTTACACCTCTGGCTCCCCACGAAAGTTTCTACGTTGAGCGCGACTCAAGTGATAGAGGAATAAATTGTCAAAGGGAGAGAGGGGAGATTCCGCCAGGACAGGTTTGCATTTAGGTTTGACTGGATCTTATCTCACAGCCAGTAAAAAAAAAATCTTCACTTGTACTGACACGTTCGCTAAACAGTAGTCCAACCGTTGACAAAATCTCAACTCTTTGTCTAAAAAATTAAATGTGATTTTGATTGGATTGTATATTTACAAAATCACACTCTAAACTTTACCCCCCCCCCCCTATAATAACATCGTAGTTTTGAGGCCTAGGTCCCATTTAAAAAGCAACAACAGTGAGTAATAGTACTTTAAATAGCTCTAGGGCAATCTCCGCATTTGGGTCCCAAGCCAAGAGTACCGGAATATCATATCACTTTATATTATAAACTTTATGAAGTGACTAGCCGTACTTCAGCTAGACTGCCAGTCTAGCCGTACACTTAGATATATCTAGGTTTGGCCCCAATGACCTAAACCTGTTGAGTACACAGTTCTCTGAGATCTAGTACAGTAAAATTATTCAGATTTGAAATATAGTGGGAGTCGCATTCAATGAGGTTGCCGTGACCGGCTTGTTGTCCTCATTGGATCCGACCTCTCGTTGAACATGACTAAAGAAAAGGGAAAAAAAAAAGAAAAAAAGGGGGCGACAAAAAGACAGACAAAAAAGACGAGAGCGTGTAGTGTACGATTTTTCGGTATCTAGCAATACAAATGCGTAAAGAATGGAGGATGGCCCTTGTGCTTCGCGTGAGATGGATAGAAAGGAGAAACATTCTTCGCTTTCGGGGCCGCTAATTGACTTTATTTGGTTATCATATCACGACCTCGTTGAAAGCGACTTCGGTCTGTTTGCACCCTCGTTGGAGCTAATGTACATTTACAAAGAGATACACAGGCTAGAGGAAAAAATCGGGGATTAAGGATTGCCTCCTTGGAGCCGCCTTCTCGTTGAATGCGGCTCCCACTGTACATGCATGTCAGTAAGGCACCTCTCGGTTTCGTCTGAAATACACTATAGGTATTGCAAACTAAAATTTTATTTACAATTCAGCCATCCTTAAGTACGGCTAGCCTGTCAGTCTAGCTGTACTTATTTTAGGCCCTATATGGAACGTGTTGAACAGGTCTCATTAACAATTATTCAGGTTTATGCCTTTTATAATAATAGTATAGATCTAGGCCTACACGCACTGTAGGTAAGGCATCTTGGTTTCGTCTCAAATACAAATACTTCATGTATTGCGAACTAAAAATTTACTTACATAGAGAGGCCTATTTATTGATGTTTGTCAGTCTAGCCATCATAATATTATTTATAGATCTAGATCTAGATCTAGGTGCAGCTAACCCAACCGTCAAGCCTCTTCCTAAACTTTATATGAATTGAGGTTAAAACTAACAACATTAGGATTAGGGATAAGGGGGTATACCCCTATAGTATAGGGATGTAGGGATGGGGTTTTGAATAGGCTAGGATAGTACAGACAGCCTAGCCCTAACCTAGGCCTACTGCCTAAACTTTTGCGGAATCAAACCTCAGAAGTCACAAGAAAGGAACATCAGTCGGCTTCTACGGTATCAAGTTGGCCAGCTCAAACTCAGGGAGGAATCCTGGCTTTCACTTTTTTAGCTTTCCAGCCACTTTTAGCACTTACTGTCACTTAGACTTAAAAAGTTAAATAGCATAGGCTCAGTAAGCCCACTATTCGCAGTCGCAGCGCTGGAACTTAATCCATACACAACGAGGGCAGCTCTAAGCCTCAACTAGATCTAGATATAAGCCTAATCGACGCACACTGCATTTAGAAGCACGACCGTGTGTGCGTAAACGTATGGTGAAATGGAACATCGGCCAACACGACGAGCCAGACACATAAACCAGAGACACACCTCGCTCGTTGCTCAACAAGTTACTTCGTTCCGCAATTTTGTTGTTGTGGTAGTTCATAGTTTTGTACAAAATATACAAGCGGGCGGATAACACGACCGTTTATGATATTCCCAAATATCTGGAAATAGTCAACGAGGATTGGGAATAGTAGGTCAGGATCCGCTGAGTGAGAGATAGTCTCATCAGATCTGTAACTCTGTAAATTCCAAGCTCTTGGCTTTACGCTGTTAAAGTTTAGAGCTATTTTTATGCAAAATATTTATGGAGTGGGCCCATATAGATCTACGTATCTACCATACCTTAATCTTCTGTAAAAAAAATAAAAAATTAATACCTTTTTAATGTGGGTGTTTTCTTGAACCTCCAAGATTTTTTTCGCATTCCTTACACAATAGGCCAGGAGTTCGATTTTTACCTACCCTAAGATAAAGGGTATGGCTGAAAGACAGCAGTAAGAAGGAGCCAGTAGTAGCAGTAGAAAGGGTCATGAGTCCAGAGGATTAGGAAAAATGGAAAGGGGGGCCGGAAAGTGGAGATGAAAGGAGATAAGGAGGTGAAAGGAGACAATTTTAGAGGAGAAAATTTTCTGTGGCCGTCAGGTTTCAAACCTGGCACCTATTGAATGAGAGACAAAAGCCCAAAGTAGGCCTACTGAGGATAAGAGACATTACTAGAGTGTAATAATTGAATTTAAAAAAAGTTTTAGTAAGAGTTTTACGGCACTTGCAACACTATAAGGTCATATATATATAAGTGCCGAAGAAAAGATGTGTTACAAGAGAGTAACAAACACAAAAAGGAGGAGGAGAGATAAGGACAATAGATTTTTGATAGGAAATAAGGAGCAAACCACACCAGAGCACCCGCCTTATGGTAGTATATATATATATATATATATATATATATACCTAGTACAAAGAAAAAAAGGAGAGATAAGGACAGTAGATGTTTGATAGGAAAGAAGCAAGAGAGAATAATCAGGACAGAAAGAAGCGGGAGAGATTTAGGACGATAGATGTTTGGATAGGAAAGAAGGAGGAGAGATAAGGACAACAAACGTTTGATAGGAATGGGAAGAAGGAGAGATAAGGATGATAGATGTTTGTACAGTATTTTAATAGGAAAGAAGGAGAGAACTACAAGACAGACAGCATCCGCCAACCACCCACAGGGTAGATCCTGCACTAGTTGTAGGCCTACAGGTGGGGAAATAAAGGACCAACATTCCCATGCTCCTTTCCTCAATGTCTGAGGGACTATCGCAGACAATTAAGTCTCTAAAACAATGCCATGGGCTGATGTGTCCAGGAAATTATTTAACCCGAAATTATCTTTCCTAATGTGTCCAGCAAAGTTTTCATAGGCCAGAATTCATATTTCTTTTATATTTTATTATAATTATAATATGTCTGTGAAAGTTTTCAGTTTCAGGAACCAGAAGTTATCTTTCTATTATAATGTGTCCAGATGGGTTTTTCACGAACCAGAAGTCCAGAAATACATGTAATGAGTTCAGGAAAGTGTTCATGAACTAAAAATTACCTTTCTGTATTATGTGTCCTGGAAAGTTTCCATGAACCAGAAGTTATCTTTCTATAAAATGTGTTCAGGAAAGTTTTCATGAACTAAAAGTTGTCTTTCTGTATAATGTGTTCAGGAAAGTTTCCATGAAATAAAAGTTATCTTTCTGTATAATGATTCCAGGAAAGTTTCCATGAACCAAAAGTTATCTTTCTGTATAATGATTCCAGGAGAGTTTCCATGAACCAAAAGTTATCTTTCTGTATAATGATTCCAGGAGAGTTTCCATGAACCAAAAGTTATCTTTCTGTATAATGATTCTAGGAGAGTTTCCATGAACCAAAAGTTATCTTTCTATAAAATGTGTTCAGGAAAGTTTTCATGAACCAGAAGTTGATTTTTTCTAAACACTCTCAAGTTTTCCTTGCCAGCACAATCATGAGAAATAAATCAGGTTAGCTTCATAAGAAAACAATACAAAACAAAACAGCTGAGTCGAGACAAGTTTTCTTTAAAATTCTTTCTTTATCAGTCCAAAATATCTTAAAATAAGAAAAGTAGAAATTATTGAATCAAATTGCTCTAACCAACACATCAGCTTAATGAAGTCAAGGAAAGATCCTTGAATGAACTAGGCTACTACCCTTTTGCATATACTTTTTAAAAAGAAAAAAAAAAGCACATTATATTTATTTATGTACACGGTGGAGACAAAACGAAGGTAAACCAGTCACCTGACAATGCATACATACATGACAATCAGAAACCATCACAGTAGAACTAGATAGAAGAAAGAAGGTAGGATAAAAGCAAGCGAACAGCAGGCTTTGTGCAAAAACAGATAAAATACATACAATGCACATGTCGCTGGACAGTTGAACATCTTGAAGTTGAAGAAGATAATACTGATATTTGTGCCTTACAAACAGTGGAACTTCCGTTCACACTTATTAGTTCACAGAATCTGTTAACATTCATCAGTTAGTTGACATTCATCAGTTCACAGAATCTGTTAACATTAATCAATTAGTTAACATTCATCAGTTCACAGAATCTGTTAACATTCATCAGTTAGTTGACATTCATCAGTTCACAGAATCTGTTAACATTAATCAATTAGTTAACATTCATCAGTTCACATAATCTGTTAACATTCATCAGTTCACAGAATCTGTTAACATTAATCAATTAGTTAACATTCATCAGTTCACAAAATCTGTTAACATTCATCAGTTAGTTGACATTCATCCGTTCACAGAATCTGTTAACATTAATCAATTAGTTAGCATTCATCAGTTCACAGAATCTGTTAACATACATCAGTTAGATAACATTCATCAGTTAAAAGAATCTGTTAACATTCATCAGTTAACAATATAAGGAACAACAAATAAAATCATCTGAGATAGAATTTCTCTCTATAAAAACACAGCAAAGGCAGCACTGTAGCAATGCTGATCTGAGAAAACAATTTTTTCCAGCTTTCAAAATGACTTATCACGAGTGGAATGTTCATTTTATCCAATAAAACATATCAGAGGTATGAAAAAAATTATCTCTTTATAAATATATATATATTTACTCTTTTATTGTAAAAGAACGGGTTAAAATAGTCAATTTGTATCTCTGTACTAGACTGTACTCTTTCACCGAACGGAAGACTCATGGCACTTTAGGCAGTATAGAAGGAGAAGAAATGTATCACACAAGATCCCCTGGGACCAAGGAACTTATAGTAGCACAGATACAATAGACAACGAAAGATCTTGTCAGTATGTTAGTGTTTTAGCACCTATAAACGGCTGCTTGCACTGTATGCTTCCCAGGAAGTTGAGGTTGTTTCAGAATGCTCTCAGGTCGGCTGGAGTAATAGTATAGATTGTGAAGCCAGTAGAGCTTTAAGAATAGAAGTTCGATGCCTTGGACAAACTGCAGACTAAGAAAAGCTGAAATCTGAAATTGGGACAAAAGTGCGTAAAAGTAATATATATATATATAAAAACTGGAAGTGCTTGTATATCTAATATATATATTTGTCTTCAGATTTATTTATCCCGAAGACCCTGACGTTTGAGCCCACACAGCGCTGACGACTGAGAGAAACAAACAAATCACCCGTCTACAAAGGGAATACACATGACCTTGACAGTTTCCCCACGACCCTAGCTGTCAAACAACCAGGTCAGTCCAAGACAACATGTTCATCTCTCATTTCACATGAAAGAAAACAGGAAAAAATATCATCATCATATCATCAACGTGATCAATTCTCGTTTGGAAAGGAACTTGTTACTTGTTACTTGTGTGAAGGACCGACATCACTACACAAGGGGCATCCCCATAAGCGTTCCATCCCCTGAAGAAGCATGTCTCGAAAGGAAGAAAATGGCAACCTTATTTCACCCCCATATGTGAGACAAAATAAATGCATAGGATTGTACCAATTTCTTTGATACACCTCTCTTCTCCCCGCCATACACATACACATCATAAACAATGCACAAACATAACATAAAAAGTTAAACAACCTCTCTCTATCTTTCTCTGCCCCTCTCTGTCTCCCATCTCTCACTCTCCCTCTCTCTGCCTCTCTCCTTCTCAGCTAGACAGGCAAACACAACACAAGCTCTGACACCTGGGAACACCCCTGTGGAACATTCCAGAGTCCGTTGCAAGCTGCGGGGACAAAATCTCTACACTTGCTACAGTCAACGGACAAACAGACAACACAGATATCTACGAAACAGCCATGAAACTCGACACATCCCCCCCGCCGCCCCCTCCCCCCCACCCCATCAAAGAACACACGTCTGACAACCCAGTGACATCCCTTTGTTGACAACCTAGTGACATCCCTTTGTTGACAACCCAGTGACATCCCTTTGTTGACAACCCAGTGACAGCCCTTTGTTGACAACCCAGTGACATCCCTTTGTTGACAACCCAGTGACATCCCTTTGTTGACAACCCAGTGACATCCCTTTGTTGACAACCCGCTGCCCTGCCTTGTTTTGTCCCTTTGGTAAAAGTTTTGCACCACTTGCAACTGCATAAGGTCATATTGAACTGCATGTTTCCTCGCTAGTTCACAGCACGCCTTGGTTTTACTTTATGGTGAAAATAAAAAATTTACGGTACAATTCAATCGAAAAAAAACCCAAGTCATCTACAGTTTAAAAATAGTACCAACAACATTTTCTAGTAAAGACCATGGGTATTTAAATAGTTGAGAATATTATTCGCATCAACGACTGGCTGTTTGACCGACTGAGTGAATCATCAGCATATGAGTTGTTCTTAAGGCTAGGATATTCACAAAGGGGATGGAGATTTGTACAAACCATCATCATTAAACAGCAAGCTTCTATTTGCCAGTCTGTTGGCATATAAACAAACTAGCATTATCAAACAGCAAGCTTCTATTTGCCAGTCTGTTGGCATATAAACAAACTAGCATTATCAAACAACAAGATTCTATTTGCCAGTCTGTTGACAAATAAACAGCATTATTAAACAACAACAATGGCAACAAAAACTGGGACATATTTTCTCATCAAAACACATAACACTTTTCAAAATGGCTTTGGACTAAAAAGAAAAATGCATGCTACTGTACTTCCTGGCTGGACCAAAGTCACAGAAACTCAATCTTACAGAGAAACTGGAAGTCCTCAGAATACATTATTTTATTTTTCCAACCCAGCAACCATCTGAGCTCCAGCCCTTTGGCCTGAAAGTCCTCAGAATAAGTTTGAACGTTTGAACAAAGCTACCCACAGTACACTTGTGAGAATAGTGACAGAATTTGTTAGAGATATGCTGCCGACTAGAGGTGGGGGTCACTTGTATTAAACAGAGAATTTGTTTGGTAAGAGTTTTACAACTGCGTACGGTTATGAGAGCACCCAAACTGAGAATACCGATTCTGAGAAAAATGGCACAGATAGTTGGTTTATCTTTTATTGGCTGCCTTCAGGTAAAAATAAAATCATTATATTTATCTGTACATGAAATTTTCAACATTAACATTACCTGGCAAAACATACATTTTTGCGAACATAAATAATTGATTTCAATTTGTGAACAAGTCAAAGGTTGTAGGAGGGTCTGTCCCCTAATAATATAATTATCAGTTTAGATTGACCAGAAATATTTGAGAGCAGTGAGCGCGCGCTCATGTTGAGTTGTTGCTTCTTTTCGGTTGAAACAACAGATTTTATGTAAAATGTCCCTGGGTAGAATTGTAGAATTGTCTTGTTAGCGTGTCACTTTGCACACGTCCAACTTACAAACAAAATTGCTCTCCCGATGGTTTTTAGGGAAATAACTGCTTTCTACGCTGCATATCGCATCCAGAGAATTAAATTTTGGCCGCCCAAAGACTTGAATTACATTATCCTAGACTGAGCACAGTTATGGCCACCCAAAGACTTGAATTATATTATCCTAGACTGAGCACAGTTATGGCCGCCCAAAGACTTGAATTATATTATCCTAGACTGGGCACTGTTATGGCCGCCCAAAAACTTGAATTACATTATCCTAGACTGGGCACTGTTATGGCCACCCAAAGACTTGAATTATATTATCCTAGACTGGGCACTGTTATGGCCACCCAAAGACTTGAATTATATTATCCTAGACTGGGCACTGTTATGGCCACCCAAAGACTTGAATTATATTATCCTAGACTGGGCACTGTTATGGCCACCCAAAGACTTGAATTATATTATCCTAGACTGGGCACTGTTATGGCCACCCAAAGACTTGAATTATATTATCCTAGACTGGGCACTGTTATGGCCACCCAAAGACTTGAATTATATTATCCTAGACTGGGCACTGTTATGGCCGCCCAAAGACTTGAATTATAGTATCCTAGACCACCACATAAACAGCATCAACTCCATGTGGGAACCCCATTGCAGACGCTGTGACTACCACGAGGAGACCGTTGAACATCTTCTCCTTCACTGCCCAAACCTGGCAGTTCTTTGAAGCAGGCTCCTACACACACCAACAGACTTACAAAGTCTGCTCTACTCTGGCGCTGACCAGATGACAAGGACATGTGGTTACTTAAGGGAGGCACAGCGCTGCCAAGAGCGAAAAGCTCTCAGCTAAAGGAATTAAAAAACAACAACAACATCCTAGACCAGGTACTGTCATGGCCGCAACTCTTTATAAAAACCTTTGAGCACTGGTGTATGATGCCATCATGGGCTCGCAAACGAAGGGCAAAACATAAGTCGTTCTGTAGTTGAGTACGCGTGTAACATGTCCCTCCTTGCTCTTAATTTGGTTCCAAATAAGAGTCAAATGGTGTGCTCCAAGAAGAATTAGAATTACACCAAAGTGCAAGGTCTAGAATATTATAATATTTGTGTCACGGCACGGTTGAATAAGGTTCTCATCAGTTTTTTAGCAGATGAAATGATTGCTATCATCTTAAAGTTTGTTCGTTTATGAAAGATAGCATTTATCTTGTCTTTGATGGAAAAAAAATACTCATTTATCTTAAGAAAAAGTAGAAATATTTGCAAGTGAAGGAGGTGGGGGTCGTCTGGTGTCAAGAGGTAAAACTAGTGAGAAAATAGCCGGCGAACTTTGGTGACTCCCAAAGCTTGAGAGTCCTCAAAATCAGCAATTTGACATTGGTCTTGTCCCTGTGATCAACAGTTTTCAGGACAATCTACACACTAATGGTGTTTTTTAAAAGGACATAAACATTCTGAACCAAAAGAAAAAAAAATTCGATAAACTTCCTAACACGTGAATAAAATGAATAAATGCCAGTCTCTTTGATTTTGTTACTTTGACGAACGCTCGATTTCTCCCACAATGCGACACATTTCTTCAGCGAGTCTACGCTCGGCCTCTTCCCACAGATTTCTCTCCCGATAGTACTACTAGGGGAGATCACTGGTTTAGCTGTATGTGGAACCAGAAGTTGAGGCTGGTCTTCCAGGCTCCCTTCAGGGCTTGGTTGAACTTGCTGCGGAAGTGGGCACGTGCGTCGATCTCCGAGAGGTGAGGGACCAGCGTCTCCCGCAGGTAGTTGACGTCCTTCGGGGAGCTGAGCTGGGGGATGCCGCCCGACAGCATCATCATGAACAGCGACATGAGCAGGGAGTACTTGTTGCGCAGGATCAGAAATGCTTTCTCGCACATCACGCGGAACCTGGGGGGTGGATAATTTAATTTTTTAGTAAGAGTTTTACGGCACTTGCAACATAATAAGGTGATATAAGTGCTGAAGATTAGAGGTGTTACAAGAGAGTAAGAAACACAAAGAAGACGGAGGGGAGATAGTAAAGAAGGAGCAAACCACACCAGAGCACCCGCCAACCACCCACGGGGGTGGATAGGGGTGTGGGGTGGTGGGTGAGGATGGGGAGGGGGAAGGTGGATGGGGAGGGGGTGGATAGGGGTTGGGGGATGGGGAGGAGGAAGGAGGGAGTAGGAAAGGTGGAATGGGGGAGGGGGTGTGGGTTGGGGGAGGTGGAAGGAGGGAGTAGGGGTGGTGGCGTGGGGGAGGAGGGGATGGGGTTGAGGGCGATGTGGGGGAGGAGGGGAGGGGATGGGTAGGGGCTGGAGTTGGGTGCGGAGAGAGTGGGAAACTTTACTTAAAGGAACAGTTGGTACCCAGTACAGAATTAGTCACAAAACTTCAGGAACACACTAAAACATATCAACTGTGAGAAAGTTCTACAAGGTATATCTATCAAGGAAATTTAGGACAAGTCCTCTAGGAAACCGCTCGACGATATCTGTTCCACAAATTAGGATGTGTCCTTTAGGTAAGTTCTACAAGTTACCTGTCAAACGATTACAACAAATCCTCTAAGAAAGTTCTAGGAGGTACCAGTTAAACTAATTATGACATATCCGCTAGGAGAGTTCTCGAAGGTACCTGTCCAACAGATTTAGAACATGTCTTCTTCTAGAAAAGTTTTACACATTATCTGTCCTCTAGAAAAGTTCTACAAGTTACCTATCTTCTAAGAAAGTTCTACAAGTACAAGTTACCTATCCTGTAAGAAAGTTGTACAAGTTACCTATCCTGTAAGAAAGTTGTACAAGTTACCTATCCTGTAAGAAAGTTGTACAAGTTACCTATCCTGTAAGAAAGTTGTACAAGTTACCTATCCTGTAAGAAAGTTCTACTGGGGAAAGTTCTACAAGTCACCTGAACTCTAGGAAAGTTCTACAGGTTACCTGTCCCCCAGGAAAGTTCCACAAGTTACCTGTCCTCTAGGAAAGTTCAACAAGTTACCGGAAAGTTCTACAAGTTACCTGTCCTCTAGGAAAGTTCTACAAGTTACCGGAAAGTTCTACAAGTTACCAGTCCTCTAGAAAAGTTCTACAAGTTACCAGTCCTCTAGGAAAGTTCTACAAGTTACCTGTCCTCTAGGAAAGTTCTACAAGTTACCTGTCCTCTAGAAAAGTTCTACAAGTTACCTGTCCTCTAGAAAAGTTCTACAAGTTACTGGAAAGTTCTACAAGTTACCTGTCAAAATTTCCTCTCTCGGTGTCGCCCTTGGTGATGACGTAGACAAAGTGGGAGGTGAGGACAAAGGGCACGCGCTCTCGCTTCACGTGGAACTTGCTCTTAAAGTTGCCCAGGAAGTGGCCAAAGTCGATGTGGAACATCTGAGGAAGTCAGACGGTTGCCAGAGAATCAGAATGCAGATGGATGCCACAGAATCAGAAGAATGATGGTCGCAATAGAATCAGAAGAATGACGGTCGCAATAGATTCAGAGGGCAGATGGTCGCAATAGAATCAGAAGGCAGATGGTGGCAATGGAATCAGAAGGATGACGGTGGCAATAGAATATGAGGGATGACGGTGGCAATAGAATCAGAAGGATGATGGAGGCAATAGAGAAGGATGACGGTGGCAATAGAATCAGAAGGATGACGGTGGCAATAGAATATGAGGGATGACGGTGGCAATAGAATCAGAGGGATGATGGAGGCAATAGAGAAGGATGACGGTGGCAATAGAATCAGAAGGATGACGGTGGCAATAGAATCAGAAGGATGACGGTGGCAATAGAATCAGAAGGATGACGGTGGCAATAAAGAAGATTGATTGCAATAGAATCAGAAGGATGATGGTGGCAATAGAGAAGGATGACGGTGGCAATAGAATCAGAAGAATGACGGTGGCAATAAAGAAGATTGATTGCAATAGAATCAGAAGGATGATGGTGGCAATAGAGAAGGATGACGGTGGCAATAGAATCAGAAGAATGACGGTGGCAATAGAATATGAGGGATGACGGTGGCAATAGAATCAGAAGGATGACGATGGCAATAGAATCAGAGGGATGACAGTGGCAATAGAATCAGAGGGATCACGGTGGCAATAGAATCAGAAGGATGACGGTGGCAATAGAGAAGGATGACGGTGGCAATAGAATCAGAAGAATGACGGTGGCAATAAAGAAGATTGATTGCAATAGAATCAGAAGGATGATGGTGGCAATAGAGAAGGATGACGGTGGCAATAGAATCAGAAGAATGACGGCGGCAATAGAATCAGAAGGATGACAGAGGCAATAGAATCAGAAAGATGATGGAGGCAATAGAAAAGGATGACGGTGGCAATAGAATCAGAAGAATGACGGTGGCAATAGAATCAGAAGGATGTCGACAGAATCAGAAGGCAGACAGTGGAAATAGAATCAGAAGGATGATGGCAGGAATAGAATCAGAAGAGAACAGAAGATCCACTGCTTAGAGTAGGATTCTCCAATATTCCATTCTGAAAAGTTTGTTAATTTGTTTGAGAAAAAGGGAAGCACACCGGCACAATGAAGGTCATTATTTAGTGCTGGAAAAAGGTAAGAAACATATACAGAAACAACAGGGGGAAAGTACAGAAATAGGACCTACCAGTGGCACCCTCCAACCAACCAACCACCTGCCATTTTGAAAAAAAATGTTGTTGTTGTTGTTGTTATTGTGTCTGTTATTAGTGTTATCATGATGTTGTTGTTGTTATTGTGTCTGTTATCATGATGTTATTGTTATTGTTGTGTCTGTTATCATGATGTTGTTGTTGTTGTGTTTGTTATCATGATGTTGTTGTTGTTGTTGTGTTTGTTATCATGATGTTGTTGTTGTTATTGTGTCTGTTATCATGATGTTGTTGTTGTTGTTGTGTTTGTTATCATGATGTTGTTGTAGTTATTGTTGTGTTTGTTACCATGATGTTATTGTCGTTATTGTTGTGTCTGTTATCATGATGTTATTGTCGTTATTGTTGTGTCTGTTACCATGATGTTATTGTCGTTATTGTTATCACGATGTAGTTGGGTCTGTAATCATGATGTTAATGTTGTTGTTGCTGTTATCTTGATGTTGTTGTGTCTGTAATCATGATGTTGTCGTTGTTGTTGTGTCTGTTATCATCATGTTGTTGTTGTTTTGATGTCCATTATCATGATGTTGTTTTTGTCTTACCTGACCGGATGACTTCATCACGATGTTGTCGTGTCTGTAATCATGATGTTATTGTTGTTGTTATTATCACGATGTAACTGTTGTTGCTGCTGCCATGACTTACCTGACCGGAAGACTTCATCATGATGTTGTCGTTGTGGCGGTCGCCCACACCGATGACGTACGTGGCCACGCAGTAGCCGGCACAGGACATCAGGAACTCTTCCACCGCCGCGTCCAGACTGACCAAACGCACGAGTGAACGCACGCATGAGTGACGGGAGATGGGGAGACACGAGCCACAGGGGGAAACAGGGAAGAGAAACAAGGACAGGATTAATGAATAATAACAGTAATAATAATATTCATAATGATAATAATCATCATGATAATAAAAACAATAATATAATAATAACAATGATATAATAGATAATAGATAATAATAATAATAATAATAATAATAATATGAGTATTATTTTATGTACTGACAGGAGACAAGTGAAAGTTCTACTCTAGTTGTAGTTTTAGCTTTATTAAATGTTTTACGGCACTTGCAATACAATTAGGTCATATAGGTGTCAAAGATTAGAAATAGAGGTGTTACAAGAGAGTAACGAACACCAAAAAAAAAAAAAAAAAAAAAGGAGGAGAGATAAGGGCGACAGATGTTTGAAAGGTATGAAAGGAAAGAAGGAGCGCACCACACCAGAGCACCAGCCAACCACCCACAGTTTTACTATATGTCCTTACGTTGGAAAAAAAGAACTTAAAAAAAATATTTCCCCCCTTCTTTTCTTTGTAAAAAAAACCCCAAAGAACCCCCCCCCCCAACCCCTAAGCCGCTAGAATTCTCCGACTCACTGCTCGGGAGACTTGTGTTTCATCTTGAGCCACTCAAACAGCGCCCGTTTGTCGAAGGCCGTCTTCTTGAACCAGCGCTGGATGTTGGCCATGGTGTCTGCGGGCGAGACCACCTCGATCATGCCCTGCTCCAGGTCTGTGGCCATACACATGTACGGGTTCATTCTGTGGTGACAGGTTAAAGGTCAAAGGTAGTCATACAAATGTACAGGTTCATTCTGTGGTCAGAGGTCAAAGGTTTAAGGTCAAAGGTGGCCATACACGGGTACGGATTCATTCTGTGGTCAACAGGTTAAAGGTTCATCCTGTGGTGAGAGGTTACAGGTTAAAGGTCAAAGGTAGCCATACACGTGTACGGGTTCATTCTGTAGTCAGAGGTCAAAGGTTTAAGGTCAAAGGTGGCCATACAGGTGTACGGGTTTATTCTGTGGTCAAAACGTCAAAGGTTTAAGGTCAAAGGTGGCCATACACATGTACGGGTTCATTCTGTGGTCAAGACGTCAAAGGTTTAAGGTCAAAGGTGGCCATACACATGTATGGGTTCATTCTGTGGTCAACAGGTTAAAGGTTCAAGGTCAAAGGTAGCCATACACATGTATGGGTTCATTCTGTAGTCAACAGGTTAAAGGTTCAAGGTCAAAGGTGGCCATACACATGTATGGGTTCATTCTGAGGTCAGAGGTTAAGGGTTTAAGGTCAAAGGTGGCCACAAAGCACAGATATTGGTTCATTCTGTGGTCAAAGGTTCAAGCTTCAAGGTCAAAGGAAGCCGCTGAGGTCAACAGGTCAAAGGTTAACGGTCATACATGTGTATGGGTTCTTCCTCTGCACAACAGGTTAATAAAGGTCAATGGTGGCCATACAACACGACATGCATCGGTTCATTCTGTGCACAACAGGTCAAAGGTTAAAGGTAGAAGTCGGCCATACATCTCTTCTGCCTGTCTGTCTGTCTCCCTCCAGTGTGCAATTTTTTGTTTTTCAAAGCCTGGCAGAGGTATACAAAGATAAACTTCTCTCTCTCTCTCTCTCTCTCTCTCTCTCTCTCTCTCTCTCTCTCTCTCTCTTTCTCTCGCTCTCGTTCGTAACGTGTGCGTATACACTTTTATACAAGAAAAACGCCAGAGCTGTGTCTAAGCCAAAGGTTACCATACTCTGTTTCCACGTAGTTTTTAACCATAAAAATAACTTTAAAAACATCCCTTAGATAAGCCTGGATCTAGTAGAACTGAACAAAAGTTTGCTCCTTCTTTCCTATCAAACATCTATCGTCCTTATCTCCCCCTCCTTCTTTTCTGTGTTTGTTACTCTCCTCAGGTAAAACCTGTACTCCTCGGCACGTTTATGAGCTTATTGTGTTACATGTGCCGTTAAACTCTTACTAAAACAAAAACACAAGAAATATAGAAATATTAGACTCAGAAACAACATGGTCACCAGACGGTGACGCTGTCAGGGAGTTATGCCCCTTGCCCCATGACACTCACTGGGAGGTCATGCAACCGTGGAAGATTAGCGAAAATGCAGGAAGTGGGAGAGAAAAACCGAAACGAGGGTAGAATGATGGGTGGGATTTTTTTCTTTCGCTCCTTTTTTTTTGGGTGGGGGGGGGGACACATGAGAATAGAAGGATGAAATTAAGGGAGTGTAAAACAAAAAAGACAATGACGTCACATAGAAAGAAGCGGCGGGAGAGAGAGAGAGAGAGAGAGAGAGAGAGAGAGAGAGAGAGAGACAGAGAGAGAGAGAGAGACAGAGAGAGACAGAGAGAGAGAGAGAGACAGAGAGACAGTGAGACAGAGATAGGGACAGAATATGGAGAAAGGAGGAATAGCAGAGAGAGACAGACAGACAGACAGAAAGAGAGAGAGAGAGAGAGAGAGAGAGAGAGAGAGAGTAGAGGGGGGAGAAAGACAGACAGACAGACAGACAGACAGACAGACAGACAGACAGACAGACAGACAGA